GACCGGAGATGTGTCTCGGTCATGTCTACGTAGTTCTCGAACCCGTAGGGTCCGCACGCTTAACGTTCGATGACGATTTGTATTATGAGTTATGTTATTTGATGTACTAAAGGTTGTTTGGAGTCCCAGATGAGATCACGGACATGACGAGGAGTCTTGAAATGGTCGAGACATAAATATTGATATATTGGACCATGTTATTCGGACACCGGAAGTGTTCCTGATGGTTTCGGGTAAAACCGGAGTGCCGGAGGGGTTACCGGAACCCCGGGGGAACTAATGGGCCACCATGGGCCTTATTGGAGAGAGAGAAGGGGAACCAGGGTAGCCCCTCCCCCCTTGCAATCCGAATTGGACAAGGGAAGGCCCCCCCCCTTTCCTTCTCCCTCTCTCCCTCTCCTTCCTTCCCCCTTTCTCCCTCTTGGTGGAATCCTACTAGGACTCCTACTAGGACTAGGAGTCCTAGTAGGACTCCCCTCCTTGGGCGCGCCCCCTATGGTCGGCCGGCCTCCTCCTCCCCTACTTTATATATGGGGAAGGGGGCACCCCATAGACATCCAAGATTTGTCTTAGCCGTGTGCAGTGCCCCCCTCCATAGTTACACACCTCGGTCATATCGTCGTAGTGCTTAGGGGAAGCCCTACGTCGGTAACTTCATCATCATCGTTGCCACGCTGTCATGCTGACGGAACTCTCCCTCGTCCTCAACTGGATCAAGAGCTCGAGGGACGTCATCATGTTGAACGTGTGCTAAACATGGAGGAGCCGTATGTTTGGTACTTGGATCGGTTGGATCGTGAAGACGTTCGACTACATCAACTGTGTTACTAAACGCTTCCGCTTTCGGTCTACGAGGGTACGTGGACACACTCTCCCCTCTCATTGCTATGCATCTCCTAGATAGATCTAGCGTGATCACAGGAATTTTTTTGAAATACTGCGTTCCCCAACAATTATTGACTCTAGTGCAAGTGGGAGACTGAAGGAAATATGCCCTAGAGGCAATAATAAAGTTGTTGTTTATATTTCCTTATATCATGATAAATATTTATTATTCATGCTAGAATTGTATTAACCAGAAACTTAGTACATGTGTGGATACATAGACAAAATAGAGTGTCCCTAGTATGCCTCTACTTGACTAGCTCGTTAATCAAAGATGGTTATGCTTCCTGACCATAGACATGTGTTGTCATTTGATGAACGGGATCACATAATTAGAGAATGATGTGATGGACAAGACCCATCCGTTAGCTTAGCATATCTTTTAGTTTTATTGCTATTGCTTTCTTCATGACTTATACATGTTCCTATTACTATGAGATTATGCAACTCCCGAATACCGGAGGAACACTTTGTGTGCTATCAAACGTCACAACGTAACTGGGTGATTATAAAGATGCTCTACAGGTGTCTCTGATGGTGTTTGTTGAGTTGGCATAGATCAAGATTAGGATTTGTCACTCCGAGTATCGAAGAGGTATCTCTAGGCCCTCTCGGTAATTCACATCACTATAAGCCTTGTAAGCAATGTAACTAATGAGTTAGTTACGGGATGATGCATTACGAAACGAGTAAAGAGATTTGCCGATAACGAGATTGAACTAGGTATGATGATACTGACGATCGAATCTCGGGCAAGTAACATACTGATGACAAAGGGAATAACGTATGTTGTTATGCAGTTTGACCGATAAAGATCTTCGTAAAATATGTAGGAGACAATATGAGCATCCATGTTCCGCTATTGGTTATTGACCGAACATGTGTCTTGGTCATGTCTACATAGTTTTCGAACCCGTAGGGTCCGCACGCTTAACGTTCGATGACGATTTGTATTATGAATTATGTATTTTGGTGACCGAAGTTTGTTCGGAGTCCCGGATGAAATCACGGACATGACGAGAAAGTTAATGGGCCTAATGGGCCATAGTGGAGGAGAGGAGGCCAGCCACGGGAGGAGGCGCGCGCCCCCTTGCCCCAATCCGAATTGGACAAGGGGAGGGGGCGCGGGCCCCCTCTTTCCTTCTCCCTCTCTCTCCCTTCCCCTTTCCCCCTCTCAGTTGGAAGGAAAGGGGGGCGAATCCTACTAGGAACGGAGTCCTAGTGGGACTCCCCCCCCCCTCACATGGCGCGGCCCCCTTGGGTCGGCCTCCTCCTCCCTCCTTCCTTTATATACGTGGGCAGGGGGCACCCCAAAACACAACAGTTGTTTCTTAGCCGTGTGCGGTGCCCCCCTCCACAGTTTACCACCTCGGTCATATTGTCGTAGTGCTTAGGTGAAGCCCTGCGCGGATCACATCACCAACACCGTCGCCACGCCGTCGTGCTGACGGAACTCTCCCTCGACCCTCTACTAGATCAAGAGCACGAGGGACGTCATCGTGCTGAACGTGTGCTGAACACGGAGGTGCCGTACGTTCGGTACTTGGATCGGTTGGATCGTGAAGATGTTCGACTACATCAACCACGTTACTAAACGCTTCTGTTTTTAGTCTATGAGGGTACGTGGACACACTCTCCCCTCTCGTTGCTATGCATCTCCTAGATAGATCTTGCGCGTTCGTAGGAAAATTTTTGAATTACTACGTTCCCCAACAGCGTGTCCTTTTTGTGACCAGGAGCAGGAAACAATCAACCATCTACTACTCACATGCGTCTTTGCCAGGACGGTCTGGACTGTGATTTGCGAGGCCCTAGGACGGCTGGACTGGGTGCCGACACAACAGGACATCCTTGCACCTTGGTTATGCAGCAAACGTGGACTGAACAACATGAGCATGAAGGATCTGCGTACCATTCTAGGACTAACAATGTGGAAATTATGGAAGCACAAAAATGCCATTGTCTTTGATGGTGCCCAACCCTCGTGTGAGGTGTTGTTACGTAGAATTAGGCTTGAGGGCTTAGTGTGGGTATCGGCAGGCCTACTAAAAGGGGATGTTAACCCCTTCTTTAGTCGGGTGGCACTGTGGGATAGGTGTGAGGAGTAGAGTCACTTAAAACATTTGTAACTATGGTGGAAACATTCTTTTGCCCTTCTTCTTTAATACTCCCTCTGTCCCATAATATAAAAGTGTTTTTACACTAGTGTAGTGTCAAAAACGTTCTTATATTATAGGACGGAGGGAGTATATTATATGCACGTTCGTGCATATTCGAGAACAAAAAGACAAGAGGAGACATAAGGTTTATAAAGCCAACATGCTTTTTTGCTTTGGTAGCTTTGTATATCGGATTGCTATATTTGCACAAAACACACAATAACATGTGAAGACAATTTGTCATAGACACATCACACGTATACTAGCACAACTCCCGTGGAGGTGTGCATGCGTACACGTACACCCACGCAGCACACACGCATACATGTACACACGCAGCACACACGCATACATGTACACACGCAGCACACACGCATACGTGTACACACACAGCCCACACGCATACATGTACACAGACGCATACGCGTACACTTACGCACACGCAGCACACACATACATGTACACATCATACACGGGGCCACTAGTCATTGAGACCAAAATATGATGGGGGTCATTTTTACAAAGCCTTGCCAAAATTTAGCAAGTGCCCCTTTGAATTTGCAAATATGCAAAGTGGGATGACAGATTTAGCAAGCTTTGTAAAAACTTTGGATGGAGAGCCACTCATACAAAGAGTGTTGGAGGAATTGTTTTGTGCAGATTTGCTAAAATAGCAAGTGAATGCAAATATAGAAAGACCGTTGGAGATGCTCCTAGGAGAGCTAGTACTAGTACTAGTAGACCACTACTAATTATGTATTAATTAGAACTATGTTTGATTCAAATGAACTTTGTATGTTTGAAACAATGTAGTAGTTGAACTAGTTTACATCTTCGAATACATCATCCGTTGGAGTTGAAGGTTTACATCACCAAATATACATCATCAGTTGAAGTTGAGACTTTTTTGAAGATGTAAAAAACACTTGTTGTGATGTAAATTATACAACACCTACTTTTACATCTTTAAGTATACATTTTCTATTGAAGATGCTTTAAAAGGAGCGCGCGGTTTCTTTGTTTTGAAGGACCGGCAATCTGTTTGTTTATATATCCGAGTAAAAAACGTGCTCTTTTGTTTTGCAGGAACGGATCAGTTGACCGTTCCATGGAATACGCGCTAGGCCGGTCGATCTTTCCGTGAGGTTACCTTTAAAATCTCCTTTCTTTTAAATCTCAGCCGTCAATTATTATGTAATAAAAAATTAACAGATATGAAGACGTGACGGAAGGAGAACTAAGAATTCTTCTTAACTTAGCAATTCAAACTAATCCAAAAAATATATTCTTCACTTTATTATAAGGTAGGTAATAGATATAGATGTGATCCTTATTTTTTTTTGTATGGTTGTCCCTTAATTAATCGTATGGTTGGGGTTTTCGCATGATTATTCGTTAATCAATGGTGCGGCAAGTATGTGCGTTTGTATCGGGTTTTTACCCGGTTATTTCTCATTAACCAGGCTATTTTCTTATTCTTAATGAAATGTAAATGTAGGAACCCCTGCCCTCTTGAGGTATTCTCTAGAAAATAGAAGATCCAAAGCATTGTCATCACTTTGCAACAGATTTGATGAAATTGGCAGTAGTACACACACTTGGACGGAATAGCATATACTACTAGTATAAAAACTGGTTTGTTGTGGTCTTACACGCGAACAAAACTTTGACGTTTCGCTAGTGCGGAAAGAAAGTGATGTACATAAGTAATCATGAGACATGCATGAATCATTCCAATATCCCACTGATGATGGTTCTGGGCACAAGAATGGCATGGCAAGACTAGCAGCAGCAAGGTGGAGCAGAGCAAAAACAGTTCGCAACTCCAACAGTAAATTGATAACCTTGTCCCTAATTTTCCCGTCACCGTGTAGTAACTCTCTCGAAAGCTTAGCTACCGTCAAAGCAAAAACTGACAAGCTAGCAATAACAGCAAATGCGGTACGAGAGCAGTCCCTAGAAGTAAATCACCTGCCTGCCCGAGCACGCCCCCGGTGCCGGTGGCGTATGCTGCATCTCAAAATGCGGCGGATGTTGCGGCGGCATGGGAGTTGCAAACGGCCTCATGCAGTCCCAGGGTGGCGGCGGCGGGCGCAGCATATGAGGTGGTGCCCAGCGCGGCGGGGGGTGTGGCCAGCGCCAGGGCGCTTGCGCCGGCGCGCCCCAGCACGGTGCCAGATAAGACGGCGACATCGGCGAGCGCCAGAGTGGTGCCGGACCTGCAGGCTGAAGATGCTGCGTGAACGTAGGCGCTCCTGGGCCCGACGGCGGTGGCATCGGCAAGCCCCAGGACAGCTGCGGAGGAGGCGGCGCCACCTGGCGCGAACCGAAGCCTGGTGGCAGGGTAGGAGGCGGCGCCAACGTAGGCCGCCTCCAGCATGGTTGCGGCGGCGGGCCGAAGCCTGGTGGTGGTGGTGTGGGGAGGATCGGCTCCGGCGTAGGCCCGCTCCTGCATGGTTGCGGCGGCGGGCCGAAGCCTGGTGGTGGTGGTGTGGGGAGGATCGGCTCCAGCGTAGGCCCGCTCCTGCATGGTTCCGGCGGCGAGCCGAAGCCAGGTGGTCGGGAGAGGGTCGGCTCCAACTCAGGCTGGCCCCTGCACGGCGGCGAAGGCGGAGGCACCACGGTCTGCGGCCGCGGCGTGGGCGAGGGGGGCGGAGGTGGCGGAGTAGGGGAGCGCATCCATAGTGGCGGAGGCACCACGGTCTGCGACCGTGGCGTGGGCGACGGGGGCGGAGGTGGCGGGGTAGGGGAGCGCATCCATCGCGGCGGCGACGGCGTCACCAACGACATATCCTCACCCTCCTCTTCCATGACCACCTCCTCCTTCACCTTGGCCGTGTTGGACGCGGCAGGGCGCTGGTAGGGGGAGGTGCGCGTCCTTTTGGAGCACGGGCGGCGCAGGGGCACCGCCAGCGCGAGCATGTGGTGGGCGGGCGGGGGCATGGGCTCCACCGGGTCCGGCGGGTCAGCGAAGGCGGAGAAGGCGGTGACGCAGCCGATGGGGCACTCCGCCCAGCCGATGGCGTCGACGTCGGCCGCGGCCTGTGCGGCGGCGATGCGCGCGGCGGAGGGCGGCACGAGCGCGGCGCCACCGTGCAGCGTAGAGCGGCGCGGCGGCTGCAGGTCGACCTGCCCCACCATGTGGCCCATGATCTGGGACTGCAAGAGCAACTCCATCCCGTCAATCACACCCACACCGGCAGCGGAGCAAAGCAAAAGGCACATAGATAGATAGATGGAAGAAAACCTTCTTGCCGTGGAGCCTGGCGAAACCATGCATGTAGATGATCTGCAAGCGGCCATGGCAGAGTCGCGCGCAGAGAGGAGAGGGAACACATCACATACAATCACATAATAAGAGATTGAATCTCAAAAAAGAAAACATAACAGCAGATTCAGTTAACAAAAATGGAAGAAGAACAATATTCAGTATCACCTAGCGTAGTATATAATTTAATTTCTCAAAAATAAAACTAGCGTAGTACTTTTTCTGTTTCAAAATTCTTGTCTTAAATTTGTCTAGATATGGATGTATTTAATATTAAAACGTGACTTGATACATCGGTATTTTGACAAATGTAAGACAAGAATTTTGAGACGGAGGGAGTATTTATATATTATTGGTTAAAAACGAAAGAAGAGAATATTAGGAGTAACGGATTCAGTTAAAAACATGGGGAAAAGAGACATGAAAGATCAAATAAATACATGAAAGAAGAACGTCGGGGTCATACATTCAGATTCAGGAACATGGACACTCCGATCAAGGAGAAAGTTGGAACCAAAACTAGAAGAAGCAGATGAGATTGAGAGTTGGGAGTGGGTGGATTAGCAAGCACGTACGTTGTTGAGGTGGACGGTGGTGAGGCGGGTGGCGTAGGGGTCGACGAAGAGGCGGTGGTACCTCTCCAGCGTCAGGGTCAATCTCTCCTTCACCATGGCCGCGCCCTCTCCTCCCCCTTCTCCGCCGTCCTCCTTCCTTCCGCTGCCAAACTCTCTCTCTCGCGCGCGCGCGCGCTCTCGCTCTCCCTCCTCTCTCTCTCTCCTTCCGTCTGGCAAGGTTCCCCTCCCCTCTCCTCCCTGCTGGCCTTGCTTTTTGTCACGGCCAACACGCTCGATCGGCACGTTACGTGCAGATTTGGTGCTGCCCCGAAGCGCTGTCTGTATGTGTGTGAGAGAGAGAGAGACGCGGTACGTTACCGCATGGCAGGGCAGGGCAGGGCAGGGACGAAGGAATTGAATGGGGCTCCTGTTTGTTGGTGGGCGGTTTCATTTCCCTCGCCAAACAGAACAGAACAGGCTTTCCCTCGCCTGCCTGCACAAGCAGACAAACCAAAGGCACGACGCTGTTTCGTTTCTCTTTTGCTTTCACCCGATCAGGTCAGGTCAGGTCATTAGGGCATGGCCAACGCTTCACTGTGGACGGATGCTTCAGTTCTATACGTCACTTGCAATTGTCCAGCTCAGCTCAACCTGTAGCTTGCAGACTAAAACGGGATCCTGCAGAGGAAGTAGGCTCTTGGCTGACAAAAGAAATAGAGAGTGGGCAAAAGCGAGAAAGATGAGGCTAGCCAGCCATCCACGTTCACAAGAAGTACAGGGAAAAGAGAATGTACATGTCATACATTGGCCTGATGGGGCAGCTCCATGCGTTGGGTGTTTAACAAACTAAATAGTGCCTCATACATCTTTACTTATGTGGAAGAGATGAAGCACTAGAAAGGTGATGCTTCCATTGTACATAGGAAGAAAGTTGAGTTGAGCCTGCCTTTGCAAACTTGGGAGGCCCGGTCAAGACTCGTCAAAAGTGTCCCTCCCATCCTTTGGTTCTCAGCTTCTGATGATGGCTGTGGATTTTGAATTTTGGTCACGTCTGCATGTTCACTTCGTTCTTCCTCGCCGAGAGCCTGCTCTGCATTCCACCAAATACGAGCGCCTTGTCTCTCGAGTCATACAGTAACCTAAATTTTTTGTGTAAGTAGATTTGTTGGGTCATTACATTAAGATCCAACGGTCGTCCTTTTTTCTTCTTCCTCCATCTTTCATCCTCCTCTAATCCATTCCTTCACCCACAAAATTGACTTACCCAAATTACAAATTCAGTCAACATACATGTAGCTATTGTGCGTGGCAGTTTAGCACAGGCAGATCATTATCACAGCGAGCTGGATCAAGACCGTTAAGTCACTATCCCATCCCACCGAGCAAACTTTACGCACCAATAAAAGAGAGAGGACTTCAACGCAGTTTCTCTCTGCCTCGCTGAACTGAACCGAGCCACCAAGTAGATTCAGAACGACAAGGACTCCTCAAACCAGCAACCACTGTCAGAGATTTCAAAATGCAGACGCATCTCATTATCAAAACAGCAAGAAACAAAACGCATCTCATCCCAAATGCAGACGCATCTCAACGCGGTTAATAACTGAACAGGCAACATGGTTCTCATCATTAACACAACCAGTAAAATTAAAATTAATTTACAACTACTGCAGATCACCACCGAACCAAAAGCAGCGAAGAACAAAGCACGCCAGATCAACCGTCAGTTCCACGCTGCTTCAGTCAACCACGCTACAAATCACACAGCAGAGGCAATGCCGCCGCTGCTGCCCTGGGCGGCGGCGTCGGCGGCGGGAATGTCCTGGACCTCGATGGACGGGAGCCTGAGCAGCTCCCTCATGCGCCTCTCCTTCCTCTTGGTCGCCGCCTTCCCCTGGCCCCTCAGGGCCCGCTTCCTGGTCCCCTCCACGCCAGGCGCCGCGGGAGGCAGGCTGGAGGAGGCGCTGAATGTGCTCGGAGGGGAGACGCGCTGGACGACGGCCGCGGAGCCCGGGCGGATGGTGGCGAGGGGCACGGGGGAGGAGGCGGCCGCCCCGGCGTGGACGGAGAGGACGGAGCCGACGGGGCACTCGCGCCAGCCGAGGTCCTGGATGTCGCGCTTCACGGCCTCCGTGGAGAGCAAGGCCGCGGAGGGCCCCGCGGCACCCGGCGGGGGCGCCACGGCGTTGATGCTGACTGTGGCGCGGCGCGGGCGCAGCAGGTCGAGCGAGTTGAGCGCGTCGACGATCACCGGCTGCGATCGACGAATGTAGGGGAGAGAATCAGAGAATCGTTAGCTCGCTCTCAGGGTGGGGGGCATGACAGGCACTCAGGCAGGGGAGGGAGTTATCCAGCAGAGGGGAGAGGGTTTGGGGCTGTGGAGGGGTACCTTGTTGGAGTTGTAGAACTTCTTGAAGCCGTGCATGAAGAGGATCTGCGACGCCAACAGGAGGAGTTAGGAGGGCGGCGGACATGGGCGCGGAGAGAGTCAGAGAGAGAGATGGAGTGCCTGCCGACCTGATTGAGTTGGTCGATGGTAAGATGTCGACCGCTGCGGGTGGTGAAGAAGAGGACGTAGTCCTCCAGCGTCATCCGCGGACGATCGGCCGCTGGTGGCTTCGTCATCGCCGCTTCCTCTCTCTCTCCCTCGCTCCTCTCACGGACGGAATGGGTGCTGTGAGCCTTCCAAGGTGGGGTGCCCAAATGCAAACGGAATGGGGATGGAAGAGAAGAGAGGGGCCGCACCGTCGCGTGGAGTAAGCTGTCCCCGCACGTCAGTGCCTCATCTGCCGCCCCTTCGAGACCACCGCCGCATCGCTGCAAGCGAGAACCGCCCAGAAGGCGAAAACCGATGGATTACGCTACACTTCTTCGGTTTACGGTGCCAGCTGTGAATAAACACAACACGTGCCCGTCATCTTCTTTGCAAAATCTGAGCATCTTACATTACATCATGCACTCGACAATCTAAATCAAATATGGTTCGTGACATGATTAGGCACCTGACTGTAAGAGCATCTTCAACAGTGCACAAAAAATTCACACCCTAAAATAGTTTTAACGCGTCACTGTAGCACTTTTAGTACGCCGGACCCAACATTGTTTTAGCAGATGTCTAAAAACAGGCGCCTAAAAAACATGCAGTGTAAATTATGAAGCGTACGCAATCCGGCGCTTCAAATTTGCAGCTTTTAATAGTATTTTTCAGCGCGCGCCTGATCCTTTTTTGCACATGCACTGTTTTACAAATTCTGTCCGGCGTCCAAAAAACTTGGATTTTAGAGCACGGCCCAGTTCAGATGCTCTAAGCTCCAAACCTAGTCACCACTTCACGTCTCGAACAACAACAAAGCACATAAAAATAATACTAGTAATGTGGCCACAAGCAGGCACACAAGAGATAAAACACATGATTCCTCATTTCGGATGGTTTTTCGAACTGCATTTTCCCGCTATCTCTGTCCTGATTTCATAAGAAATGACATGTAATTGGTTGCGGGGTCAGCAGATTGACATACTTTTTGCAATGGCACTGACGAAAGAATAAAATATTAGTGTACCTAAACTTAAGGCAAGAGATGATAAGTGTCTCGAAACCAAATTTACCATACTACTCGATAGTGATCTCCACATTATTATACGACGAGCGTAACAACACTGGCAGCAAATATAGGGACAGAGAAAGGATTAGACAATTCAGTTGGGTGTAGGAACAGCAATTTTATCATTCACATCATGTAATCTACAATCTACAACAATATGTTCCGTGAAGGCAACAAAACAAAACTGGAGACAATTTTGGTACATTTGGAGTTCAAAAGCCTACTAGCGATCCCACCCCGATGGCCGCTTTCTCTCCCTCCGTTGATCTCTCGAGCTGCAATACACAGGAATTTTGAATGGTGGTTAGCTAACTGAATGCAGAGCATGGTACTAGTAGTATTGGAAATATCAGCAGGAGAATTATTCTGCACTGAGTTATTGCGAGCCACATACCTTTCAGGGTTTGTGTTCCCGTTTTCGTTAGTGTTTCCTGCGGGGCTGGATGCCGGAACAACTGATGGCGCCGGTGGTGCTGGCCTTGCTGCACCTGAATCCCCTCCTATGGTGCCACCGGAAACAAAACCACGAAGTGCTGGTTTTACAAAAGGTGCACCCCTCAAAGGTGCACTGTTGCTTGGCGCACTCGAAGACGCTGAAACAAAGCTGCTCTTAAAATTTTGCATCATCCCTGTCTTCAACGTGTTTACAGTGGCAGATCTTGGAGCAGGTACTTGTGGCCCTGATTCAGAACCATAGCCAATGCCAAGGCCAAAATCAACTCCACGTATGCCACGCCCACGCCCACGTGCACCGCCACCCCCGCCGCCGCCGCCGCCACCACCACCTCCACCACCCTTTCCTTTGCCACCTTTCTTCCCACCTGATCAAGCATAATAATTTCGTTAGCATAATCAGTTTCCAAAAGGATGCATCTCTATCACCTCCTGTGTAACTAAATAAACAGGACAAACCTTTTCTGGAGTCACGGTTAGCTCTGAACCTGCCATCCTGGAATTCAAACAACAGTCAGTTTAGAAAAGGGGTTGTCTCATGGTAGAATGACCAGGCAAGCTATAATAATACTCCCCCCGTTTCTAAATATAAGCCCTTTTAGAGATTTCAATACCATCTACATACGGATGTATATAGACATATTTTAGAGTGTAGATTCACTCATTTTGCTCCGTATGTAGTCCATATTGGAATCTCTAAAAAGGCTTATATTTAGGAACGGAGGGAGTAGTACGTATTTTAGCAGCTGACAGAACACCCAAAATTCACAAATAAGTTACCAGGAACCCACCTTCATTGCCAAGTCCATAAGTTCGTTGGGCACATCTTGACCAGCAGCAATTAAACTATGAACCAATTCACCTGCAAATCGTGATTCTTTCTGTGTAATAAGAGTATATGCGGTGCCATCTTTATCACCGGCCCGGCCAGTTCTTCCAATGCGGTGAATATGCATATCCATTTCTTTTGCAATATCAAAGTTGACAACTGTTTTAATTGACTTTATGTCCAGACCACGTGCAGCAACATCAGTTGCAACAAGAACATGGTAGATCCCAGACTTGAACTTCTGCAGTGTCTCCATTCGAGATGCTTGATCCTTGTCACCGTGAAGTGCTGCAACTTTGAATCCATGCTGATTCAACTGGTTCTCAACCTCATCGACTCTAGCCTTCTTAGTTGCAAATACAAGCACGTCACCATCATCAATCATACCAGGCATTTTCTCAAGAAGCCATGGCATTTTCTCAGCATCAGAAGGGAGTACATTCACAACTTGTTTAATGTCTTCATTAGCACTACCAACTTGACCAACTGTGACTCGAATAGGGTCAGTCAAAATTTCTCTAGCCAATCGTTCCACTTTGTATGGCATTGTTGCAGAAAAAAGCAAGGTTTGTCGGTCTGGTCTAATTTGACCAACAATGGATCGTATCTGAGGCTCAAACCCAAGATCAAACATGCGATCAGCTTCATCAAGAACCAGATAAGTTGCCCTAAACATCCTCAGTGCCTTCATCTTAAGCAAGTCTATCAGTCTCCCTGGGGTAGCAACGACTATTTCACAGCCTGATTTCAGTTCTTTAAACTGTTCAAATTTGGAAACACCACCATAAACAGCAGCAACTTGAAGGTTGTAAGGCTTTGCAAACTTCTTAGCTTCGAGATATATCTGATGTGCCAATTCTCTTGTTGGAGCACATATGACTCCTATTGGACCTTCTTCCTTCTGAAGCTCAGGCTGATCCATAATGTGAACAATCATAGGGAGCACAAATGCTGCAGTCTTGCCTGAACCAGTTTTCGCAATACCAATGATATCTCTACCTGAAAGGACAATAGGTAAAGCCTGACACTGAATTGTTGTCGGCTTTTCATAACCCTGCTTGGCAATGGCATTCATCAATGGAACAGGAAACCCACAATCTTCAAAGCTTTTAACTGGCCTTGGCACATCAAAGCCTGAAACCCGGATTGCCAAACTTTTCATATAATCAGCCACCTCTTCCACGCTCATCCCTACAAGAGACAAATAGAGAAATTCAATAAATGCCTTCAAGTAGGAGTTGCCAAACCATTAACAATGAGCAAGAACAACCAGCATAAGTTATAATCAATTTACACCACGCTAGTTCACACAAACATGTACAAGTACTTGCAAGATTTCAGTTGCAATGGCTTGTAACATAAAGAGACTTCATTAAACTAATTATTTAGCAATGTCAGCAGAAGGGGGTCGACAGATCAGATGCACAACAGAAATGTTTCAATTTCTCAAGACAAGCAATCAAAGTGAATACAGAGCGGACAAGCAATTTCTCCGACTGCTGTCTCAGGGAGGGTAACTGGAGACTGGTAATTGTGTAGAGAAGTGATGACCCGGTGCCTGCCATCTCAAAATAACAGAGAGGCATCTATACTAATAGCCAACACCCAAACAATAAGCATGGAATTCAAAATAATGATCCCCGAACCTTGTAGGGCATCATTTTTGTTTATAAGCAACCGAACATTTGGATGTTATTAGCATCCAATTGATATAGACTATTCTGGTTCATCACTTGATTAACCAAATAGAGCAAAGAAGCTAGACCTCTGGTCAGGCTTCATATGCTGAGATCAAAAGTAGCTGAACAGTGTAATCTACACGGGACGCCAATTATAACAGTTAACGATACATATGCTCAATCAAACGGTAAGATATGCTTCACCTGAAACTGACGGCTTCTCCTCGTAGAAGTCCTTGGTGAAGGGCTCATACTCGATGGTCGAATGGTCCAGCGGTGGTATGGGCTCTATCTTCCTCTTGTCAACTACTATGGGGTTGTCGTCGGAGTCGTACTCCATCATGCCTGCGTCGACGGCCTTCGCGGCAGCGTATACCTCCTCGTCGGAGTTATACCCGGCGTTCATGACGTCGGCGGCAAGCGTGAGCCCGGCATCCTTCTTGGCCCGCAGGAAGCTCTCCATGGGGTCGTCGTCCTCATCGGAATCCGCGGGGCGGAGTGCCTCGGGCTTGGGCGGCGGGGGCGGCGCGCGGATCTCCTCCTGGATCTCTGCCATGAATGCGTCGAGGGGGTCGATCTCGTCGTCCTCCGCCTTGCCGCCCTCCGCGGCGTCCGAGGGTGCGGCTGCGTCGTCAGAGAAGGCGATGTCGTCGAGGTCGTCATCGGCGGGGACGTAGAGGCGCGGCGCGGGTTGGGAGCGCTCGAAGCTGTATGAGGTGGGGCGCGGGATGCTGAAGCCCTCGAGCCTCGGTCGCTTCGACATGGACGGCGGGCAAGGTGGAGGTAGCGACGGGCTAGCTAGGGTTTGTGTAGCGAGGCGGGGAGGAAGACGATGGACACGGAGGGGTTGGGTCGGAGAGAGCTTGGCGCCGGCTGGTTGGGTCGCTCGTGTGGTGGGCCGGGTACTGGACGGGTCTGACGCGCCCGTGGGCTGAAGTCGGTCGCGGCATAGCTTATCAGGCCGATTGTTGTTCGATTGGCAACGGCCGTTGGGCCTCGCCGACTCACCGGTCTTCAGGCGTGATGTGATCTATGCAATGCTGCAAAGTAGTGCTCGTAGTA